GTATATATCTGAAAAGTATATATCTGAAAAGTATAAATATTTTTTTAAAAAAAGAGAGATAGAGATTATTAGATCATGTGCCAATCTCTCTGTGACAATGGGATGACCAGCATTCTTGCCATACTGAATGTTCTTTGCCTAATTAACAACTCAACCCCCCCCCCTTAAGGTCTTCACAATCGCTTCCTTAAGAGCTTCAGTCTCCCATTGTCACCTTAAGGTCTACAAAGCATTCCTTATCAAACTGCATTCTTTTCCCACAGTGACAAAGAGAAAAGAATTTGAAGACAGCACTTTCCTCGAGGAGCCAGAAATTAATTTTTTTTAAAAATAAAATAAAATGAAGGTTTCTAACACCCTTTAGTCGTTTAAAAACTTTTTATCGCTTGCAAACAATTAAAACATGCTTTCCATTTTGCTTTCAGTCTTTTAATGATTGTCTCTTCTTAAGCCAGAAGTGATCTCATATGCCAGATGTCAATTTCAACCTGCAGACAGATCACCTCAGTCATGATTTATAACAGCCTCAAAAGTAATTAAAGAAAGGGAGACTTTGCTGACCTTATTCCCTGAGGGCTCACCAACAGGGCTGTTGTGTGGTGTTTGAGCAAGACAACGGTTCATCTCCTCTAAGTTCCTCATCCCTGTCTGGGTTCCCCAAAGCTTCTCAGTTTCCTGGCATGGAAAGTGTCCCGTCCCCCCAGTGAATCAGAGGTTGATCCTTTGATCCCCCTGTTTTTCCATAGCGAATCTGTTAACCAAGATAGCTTGGCTATCATTAATCACCAATATGGTATCTCTGTCGATGAGCTGTCAACAGAAGAGGTCCAGTCCACCATCTTCCTCCCTGGAAGTCCAAACCTCTGTTCTCTCAGTGCTAACCTATTTCTGAGGTGGGAAAGGAAAAAAGAAATGGTGGGGGAGATGGAGGAGGAGGAGGAGAAGGAGAAGAAGAAGAAGAAGAAGAAGAAGAAGAAAGAAGAGGAGGAGGAGTTTGGATTTGATATCCCGCTTTATCACTGCCCGAAGGAGTCTGAAAGCGGCTAACATTCTCCTTTCCCTTCCTCCCCCACAACAAACACCCTGTGAGGTGAGTGGGGCTGAGAGGCCTCAGAGAAGTGTGACTAGCCCAAGGTCACCCAGCAGCTGCATGTGGAGGAGCGGGGAAGCGAACAAGGTTCACCAGATTATAAGTCTACCGCTCTTAACCACTACACCACACTGGCTCTTTGGAGGCAGTTTGCAACTTTCAGACCACCTTATCAGTATTTTCACGTGGATGCTTTTAAATGTGTGTTTCAGAGTTTTCTGTGCCAAATAAAATAGTCAGAATGTGAATAATTGTATCGAACAAGCAAACGAACATGCCATTGATAAATCCCTGGTTTGCACTCTGCTCATGCTCTGGAGCTGGCCTACCTGACCTCAGTCTTCCAGGCTGTTTCCCCTTCTCATTCAACTCCAAAGAGTCAGGGTTCTTCTTGTCATTTTCGCTCGAGAGAAAACATGTCAGCGTTGGGCCTGCTGCAGCCCTGACATTTCTCCGGTTGGAATTTTCCGGAAGCTTCAAGGCAAGATAAAAGGGGTCAAGAGAAGAGTTAAATAGCAGGGAGCCATTCTTCGACAGAGGAACATGAAATGGAAATGTACTCTTGTGGACTCACATAGACGCAGACAGTCCACGGGCATGACCCGAAGAGGTAAATGTCTTGTAACTCAAAGCAAAGGGCCTTGCTCTATTTTTAGCTTCCAGGGAGACAGCAAAGTGTACAGAAGAGGGTTGTGTGTGAACACCTTCCGTTTCAGCCTTTGCTCGTGGTGCATAAACTAATCCTTTTCCTCTTGTTTGGAGCTTTTGATATAACCACAAGTCTCTAAAACATTATCCTTTTAAAACAGGGGCAGGAATCAAACCCAGAACAACAGTGTAGGCTAACTGTAGAATAATAGAATCATAGAATTGCAGAGGGGCTCTGAGGCTCATCCACTCAAACCCCTGAAATGCAGGAAAATGCAGCTGTCCCATACGGTGCAGCAGTCTTTAATAAAAAGAGCTTCCTATTCCCTCTCCATGAATGGCACAGAAAGTGCAGATGACCTTTGGGTTCCCTTCCAACGCTACCGTTCTATGATTCTGCTAATAAAGTTAATAAACCCACTTTGATACACACAGAGAGAGAGACAGAGGGAGAGGTATATTTCTGGGAAGGTTGGGGAAAAGCTTGAAAATAAAAGAATAGATTTCCCCCCGATTCTTCCCACTTCCCTTTGCTGTCTACCATAATATTTTTAGCTTCTTATTAACCTTGTGGGGAAGAATGTATGAGCGGGGGGGGGGGGGGTTGAATGGGGAGGGAATGCTCACTGACCGCCAATAAGATGCTCACTTCATTAAGAGATAATGGGAGTTGTCATGGCATTTGAAGGATGTGTAGGTGGGCGGGGGCAGCTACCAAGAGAAGGGGAGATGATATTCTCTGCAAAAGTTCCCTTTTCATGTAAATTGTTGAAATATTTAAAATGCTTTCCATTAAGGTGGGTCGCCAGGCCGGGTGGGCGGGGAAGATTAGCATAATATTGTGGATGTAATGAAAAGCCTCTGTAATTGCTTCTAGTTCCTCTCTCATCTCTCCACACCTCCTTCTTCCTCCTTGCTCTGTGCCCCAGAACCTCTCCTGGCTCAAAGCCCACCAGGATCTCAGTCACTGGTGTCTGCATTTTTCCACCAAGGCTGCCTGACACGAAGCCTGGTGCAGCTTTTCAACGCAGGTCGTCAAGGGGGCACGGATAAATATGGAGACAGTCAGCACAGTTAATTAGTTAATGAATGCCACGCAAAGGTTTCTGGGGATGGGCTGCTTTTAATAAACCAGTGGTTTGAGGGAGAGGTGGGTGGGTTTTCTCCCCCCCCCCCATGTGGTGAGTCGATGGAGACCTCTGGGAGTTCCATGCAGAAAGCGAGGCCTCAAAGAAATACATGATACCTCTGGTTAAGAACTTAATTCATTCTGGAGGTCTGTTCTTAACCTGAAACTGTTCTTAACCTGAGGTACCACTTTAGCTAATGGAGCCTCCTGCAGTCACCACACGATTTCTGTTCTCATCCTGAAGCAAAGTTCTTAACCCGAGGTACTATTTCTGGGTTACCGGAGTCTGTAACCTGAAGCTTCTGTAACCCGAGGTACCACTGTATTGCTGTCAAGCCAGGTGTCCCTCACCCTAGTCGTGCATCAGTTGAGAGCATTGTGGGGTTTCCAGGAAGTACAGATACTTGTGAAAGCCGCAGAGTGCAGTGTCACTATTACAGTGGTACCTCTGGTTAAGAACTTAATTCGTTCTGGAGGTCCATTCTTAACCTGAAACTGTTCTCAACCTAAAGCACCACTTCAGCTAATGGGGTCTCCCGCTGCTGCTGCTGCGCCACCGCCGCACGATTTTTGTTCTTATCCTGAAGCAAAGTTCTTAACCCAAGGTACTATTTCTGCGTTAGCGGAGTTTGTAACCTGAAGCATCTGTAACCCAAGGTACCACTGTATTGCAATAAGTATGGGATGCCTACAAAACACGCATTTCAGTAATGGGTGCCTCGAAAAGCAATGGGAAGTCTGCATGCTCATTTTGTGCAAACCGTGTACCCCAAATGCATACAGCAGGACAGCATGCAATGGAATGGGATGCAACAGCATGATAACAGACCAGTGACTTGAGCGTCAGTGAGCCTGAAATGGGATGGAATTAGCTGCCCAGCCCAACTCTAGTGATGTCATTTTGATTTCCTGTCTCAAGCACCGAAATGTCCCTGTTCAAACAGACAAGCAGGCATCCAATGGAAAATTAAAAGAATGTGGATTAGATCGTCTGGGTTGCCGTTTGCTTCCCTGTTATGATCTTGATAATGCAATGCAGAAGATGGGCAGAACGGAATGTTCCTTGCCAGTGCTTTTTGCCCTAGAAAAATAGGTGGCAGTACTCACTGTGAAGTTGTTACACTAAATGCCACACTTTTTAACAACAACAGAAAGAGGTGCTGGTACTGCGTGCCCTTGAGTAGCCCCTGAAAAAAAAGAAGGCACTGTTCCTTGCCATAATAGCTCCCAATCTAATTGGTATTATACAAACAATTTAAGAGAGAGAGATGGGGTGGGGAGGGGAGAAGACAAGACACCGACTTCCCAAGATAGAGGAGCCGGGTTTTCTTTAAGTTTGGAAACTAACATATGCAGTTTTGAATCAAGATGGCAGATTGAACAATTCTAAAAGGGGCCAACTGGGACATTTCTGAAGATATCATAACCAAGTCTGGTGTAGTAGTTCCTGAGATTGAGGAGGAGTTTCTCCACTTTATTTAGATATATTTGGGTGCCATGTGGGTGTGTAGAAGCTAACAAATTACACTGTTAATTTATAAATACATTTTGATTTCTAAGAACTCCCAAGCAACACAGGGAACTTCTTGGTGCAAAACACACACACACACACACACACACACACACACACCCCTGAATGCCAAGATCCAAGTTTGGGGCAAGTACTCCTTAGTGAGAAAACCACATTAGAGTTTTAAAAACACAAAATATGCAGCAATGTAAAGCATGAAAAGATAGGTTTTTAGACATTTAAAATATGCCCTTTAAAGCGAGTTCCAAAATGTCCCCTTAAAAAAGTTTCTTTCCAAATTTTCCCCTAGCTTAGGAAAATACCATACATTTGGTAAGTTAAAAAACAATTTACTTACAAACTCTCCAAAAAACAGATTCATGTGCTTCAGAATAGTTGCACAGGCAGTAAAGCTTAGCTTAGATACAAAGCTAAGGTGAAAGTTCCTAGATTACTGGCGTAGGAACTCAAGAGTGGCTTGTGAGAGCCATGCGGTTGAGCTGGAGCAACCAGCTCAAACTTCTTCACACACTGAGTTGCTCAGCTAGACTAGAGGAGAACAAAGGCTTGATAACCTAGTTCCTCCCAAGGTGAGTGTCAGGAGAGCTTACTCTGTGGTATTAACTCCGTCGTGCATTTATTAGAATTAAGTATGTTGGTTATATGAAGCTGGTTATCCCCCAGGACTTTCAGCTGGAAAACCATAGAAGAAAAAACAAAACCCACTGGTCTTTTGGCATCACAGATTATATTGTGAATTCAGAGAGAAGCCCCTTAGAGCTGAGTTTCCCTTTCCCTGGGAGAAGTCTGGATCATGCAACTGCCAGACTCCCCTTCCTTCTCCTCCCCATCCTCGCCGTCCAGCAGATTGCCAAGTCCCACTGCCTCAAGGTCCTCAGGCTTCTCCATCTCCTCCTTCGCAGCTTTGGGTACCATTAGGTCCTCGCGGCTGTGGACTGCCAACCCAGCCAGTTCTCCACACAACTGCCGGAAGATGGGCAGCCGGTCCCGAGAGATGAGTGGGCGCCCCCAGCCGCCGCTCAGCTTTTCCTGGCTCTTGGAGAGAGTGACAAAGATGGGGAGTCTCTCCAGGTCGGGAGACCAGTAAGAACTGGCTAGGCTGTGGTCAGGAATGATGAATGGGTAATAGTAGCCCTTAGCTGACTCCAGGTAGCCCACTTGAGACTCCAAGACTGGCGAAGTGTGTGCTGCAGCAGCAGCAGCAGCTGGGACAATGTTCTGACTCCCATCCAAAAAGACGTACTTGATTACCCGGCTGGTGTGAAAGAGTGTGTACTCAGACTGGTACCCAGATGGGCAGTAGAAGACATCCTGCCGCTGTCTCTGGGGGGCAGGCATTGGCATGGCAGCTGTTTTCCCCTGCAAAGAGACCACACAATTTAGGGAGACCATGACTCTGTCTTCACTGTTGGAGACAGCATGCCTCTGAATGCTACTTGCTGGACATCACAAGCAGGGAGAGTGGTTTGGTGCTCATATCCTGCTTGCATCTAGTTGGCCCCTGTGAGGATAGGATGTTGGACTAGATGGGTCATTGGCTTGATCCAGCACACTCTCCTTATGTTCTTCTGATGCTGGACTAGACGGGCCATTGGTCTGATCCAGCATTTTTCAGGCTCATTTTTCAGTTTTTATGTTCTTCAGGATTGAGGGGATGGCCTTATTACAGCTAAACTACTTGCATTGTATGCAAGGAGCAAAATGAAATATCCTCTCCCCTTATTGCTTTTTCATTCTGTTGTCCTCAACCTTATTTTCTCCCCAGCGATGTCTTGATATAGGGGAAGGACCACAGCTCAGAGCATCAGCCTTGCATGAGGATGGTAAGAGATGTTTGGCAGCAAAGCGGACTACCTGGGAAGCAGGAGGGCTCTCCTTCACTGGAGATTTTAAAGCAGAGGTTGGATGGCCACCTGTTAGGGATACTTTAGCTGTGATTCCTGCATTGCAGGGGGTTGGACTAGATGACTCTTCGGGAACCCCCTTCCAACTCTACCGTTTTTTTGACTCTATGAAATTGTCTGTATCTACCCAAGAAAGATACCTTCAAGTATGCATACTCAGTATGCTACAGACATAAGAAATTGAATGTTCTATGCTAGGAATTATTAGGAAAGTGATTGAAAATAAAATTGCAAGCATCAGCGTCATTATATAAATCTAAGGCACAGCCATGCTGGGGACACAGCGTCCTGTTCTGGTCACCCCGTCTCTCAAGCTGGATGTCAAAGAGCTGGGAAAGATATTGAAAAGGGCAGCGACAATTATTCAAGAACCTGCAGAACCTTCCTTGCACAGTGTGTGAGGATTTTTTAGTAGGTCCAATCCAAAAATGTCTCCCCTTTTAAGCATTTCCCTTTTCTACCCCCCACCACAAACTGTTAAGAGAAGTTCAATATGGCCCTGAAGAATATTTGGCAAAATATACCCCCTGCTTGCCCATTCATAAATAACATGAAGAAATTTTAGGGAAGTCATTTTCACCCTCCCTTTCCCCCCACTCACCCATAGTTTTTGGTTTAGGGGTTAAGAAGGGTGTGCATAAACGTGAAAGAGGTTTTATGAAATTATAAGCACTGATAGATTTCCCTCTACTATAAACACATAAAAAGAGTCTGCTAGATATCTCGTCCAGCATCCTGTTCTCACAGGGGACAACCAGATGCCTGGGAAACCAGTAAGCAGGATTCAAGCACAAGAGCCCTCTCCCTTCCTGTGATTTCCAGCAACTGGTATTCAGAAGCATCACTGCCTCCAGCTGTGGACTGCTTTCCATATGAAGCCAAAACACCTTCCAGCAACCTGGCTGTCCTCCAGATGTAGTTAAAACTGTGACTTTCCATCATCCCTGAGCAGAGGTCATGCCGGCTGGGGCTGATTGGAGTCCAAAAATAGCTGGAAGGCACCGTGTTGACTACTCCTGGCTTAAGAAAGCCAGGGTGGCATAGTGGTTAAGAGCACCAGGCTAGGACCTGGGAGACCAGGGTTCAAATCCCCACTTGGCCGTGAAGTTCATTGGATGACTTTGAACCAATCACGCACTACCTAACCTACCTCACAGGGTTGTTGTGAGGATAAAATGAGGAGGAGGAGAACCATTGATAATAAGAATAAGAATAGTTGGAGCTTCTTGGGGGTGACTGGGAGTGATGGCTAGAGACATGATAGAGACCAAAGGAAATTGGGTTTGGAATCCTTGAATTGGAAGCAGCTAAATGGATCTGCCTTGGGACCTTACCAACATCTCAGACTGCTTTCTATTCAGTCCTGCACAGGATATCCCCCTTTCAAGGTGGCTGTGCAGTTCTCACTGGGCTGGGGTTTCTTTGGCAGGAGTTACCCGAGACTTCACTATTGTGAAGTCGCCTGGGCTGGGGGTGGCCTACCAATCACAGAGGCCCAAACTGAGAGCAAGAAAATGGGAAGGAGAGGAAGCAGAAATAGGAGGTGGGTCATGTTAACATGCAACCAAGGAAATGGGGGCAATTGGCAGGCCCCCAGCTGGCTCCAGCCCACCGGCCGGTGTGCCAGGCAAACTCCATTCCTTGGATCAGCATGAATCTGCAACCCAAACTTCAGAAGCTTCAGAAGCTAGAGCACGCTACTCAGCAGAGAAAACGCTTCACAACAGAAGTGGCAGGAGAGGCTGTGTTGAGCATATTTACAAGCAGTTTACTTAGCATACATCAGGACAAAAGGAAAACATGTCTGATCTCTTTCATGTCCAAAGCAAGACAGCAAAAGCAAAAGCTATACAAAAATGGAAGTTCCCAGCAAGCTGTGCTGGGGTGTAAACAGACATGTGACATGCAACAATGCACATGTCTGTTCTTAAGGTGGAATGGAATATCCTAACAGGTCATGCCAATGCTTTTGTAGATATGGCTTAAAACATGAAGGTTCACTACCCTGTCCCTCTCCAGCGGTAGCTCTCAGCATTGGTCACCATTTGCCATGCTGGATGGGGCTGATGGGAGACTAAACGCATCTCAGGAGGCAACTGGGGATGTTTGCCCACCCTAAAACAAACTCATACTTCTTCCTGCAGTGCATAAACTATGGAACTCGTCCTACGGAAGGCGGTGAAGGCCACCAACCAAGATGGCTTAAGAAGATTCAACAAATTCATGGAGGAGAAGACTATCAGTGGCTCCACTACAAACCATGATGACTCTGCTCTGCCTCCACAGCTTGGAGGCAGCAATGCTTCTGAATACCAGTTGCTAGAAATGGCAGGCGGGCAAAGGGCTCTTGGGCTCAGGTCCTGCTGGTGGGTTTTGGGGCATCTGGTTGTCCACTGTGAGAACAGGATGCTGGACTAGATGGGCCATTTGCCTGATCCAGCAACTCTTCCCCCTCCGTTCCTCTTCTCTGGCTGCCTCCAATGACAGGTGAGGGAGAGGAGGCCTGATGGAGCTGGCCTGTCACAGGCTTTCATTACATTTGTGGGTAAAAAATTGTCCCTCAAGGAACAAAGGAAGCTGTTGCCCCCTTCCATGAGGATCAATTTATTAAGCTACAACATTAAGAACTCTTGAACTGAATGGGGTGTGTGTTCAGCTTCCTATGTTCCTTGGGAGACTATTTTACGTCTGGAGCATGTGCAGAGGTCTCTGACAAATGAAAATCGCTTCCCCCACCTTTTGCAATAATTCCTCCATTTTATAGGGTTAGAGTGTTGGATGAGGACCTGGAAAACCATGGTTTGAATCCCCACTCAGCCATGAAACTCACTGGGTGACCTTGGGGACCAGACACTACCTCTCAGCCTAACCCACCTCACAGGGCTGTTGTGGAATTTAAACGAGTGGGGGTAACCATGTATGCCCCTTTGAGCTCCTTTGAGAAAAAGTTGGCATATGAATGCAGCAAATAAATACAATACTGATGGGTTGTCACATGGAAGACGGAGGAAGCTTGTTTTCTGTTGGCGATTCCAACGAAAGCATAGGAAGAACTTTTTGGTGGTAACAGCCGTTCAGCAGTGCAATGGGCTACCTCAGAAGGTGGTAGATTCTCTTCCACTAGTGGATCTTAAGCAAAGGTTGGGTGGTCATCTGGCCAGGGATTCTTTAGCTGCAATTCCTGCATTGCAGGGGGTTGGACTAGAGGACCCTTGAGGTCCCTTCCAACTCTGCAACTCTGTTATTCTGTGATCCTATGAATCCCCTGAATGAGGCTCTGCTGTGTTTGGAATGGTTTTGGCACAGGATCATGCAGCAGCGAGCTGAGGCTTTGCAGATAACTACACATTTCTTGCAACCAGGGCTGCCCGCCAGCACTTTGTTCCTCGCTGTCTGCCTATCATTCAGGCAAGACACATTGCTACATGCATCCAGTTCTTTGTGGCTGCAGCCTCCAAGGATGGCTACAAATAGAGCTCTTTATTCAAAGTTTTGTATTCTACAATCCAGGTTTCTGTCTCGCAGAACACCCTCCTTTCTCATCCCCCTGCATTCTGTGGAAGCCAGAGGGACACATTTTCTAAAGCCGTTTACCAGTTCACGATGGGTCTCCTCTGCAATGGTCAAACCGAGGGATGTGCTGAGTGAATTTAGGGTAACCCTCACAGTTCACGTGGGGGAACAAGGAGGCCAGGCCTCAGCGCATGAAGTGAGAACATACTTCCAGATTTCTCCAAGGACTGTTCAATGCAGAATGATCATCAGGAAAGGAACCAAAGACAAAACTGCTGGTATCATAATGTCATGCCTAAGGTGCAGCCTGCCGCGGGCCAGAAGTCAGCTTCACCTACGGAACAGAAGCCTGAAGAGGGAGAAGGGGGAATGACTCCACCTACAGCTGATCAGCCTTCAAGGAAACAGAGGAGAAGGCACTGATGAGAACTAGCTGGCACTGGTGATAACCAGCTGGCTTCAGTCCTCTTAAGCAGAGGTCTCAGCAGCAGTCAGATGCTGGAAACAATGCCTGTGGTTTCTAGCCCTACCTGGTTGCTTGCTGCTCCTCATCTGGATCCTTGGCTCTGTGATCATCTAGATTCCCTGACCTCTGGAATGGACCCTTAGCGCTGTGATCATCTGGATTCCCTGAGCTCTGGACTGTCTGACTTTGTGGGTGTGTTCTTCTCTCTGCCCCTGCTTGCTCGGCAATGGGATTCGGACGGGGTCACGACACAGCCGCACTTGGAATACTGTGTACCGTTTCAGTCGCCTCACATCAAAAAGGATATTGCAGAGTTTGGAAAGGTTCAGAAAATGGCAGCCAAATGATCAAAGTGAGGGAATAGCTCCCCTGTGGAGAAAGGTTGCAGAGTTTGGGTTGCAGAGTTTGGTTTAGAGAAAAGGAGAATAAGAGGCAGCACAATGGAAATTTAGGAAATGATGCATGGCATGGAGAAACTTTTCTCCCTGTCTTATCACACTGGAATTTGTGGACATCCAACAAAGCTGAATGTTTGCAGATTCGGGACAGAAGAAAAAGAAAGGAGTTCTTCATGCAATAACAAAAATATGGAACTCACTCCCACAAGAGGCAATGAGGGCCACCAACCTAGAGGTCTTGAAAAAATAATTTAGGGTTGCCATATGTCCAAAATTTCCCCAACATATACGAAATACTGTAGTCATAAGCAGTGTCCAGGTGAAAAATTCCTAAAATGTCCATGCTGGCAGTGTCATTTTTGGCAATTTCCCTTAAAAATAGCCCCAAAACTTTTCTGTCCGGATTTTCAGTTTGAAATATGGCAACCCTGAGATAATCAAATTCATGAAGGAGAGGGCCACATTAAGCTGTGCACCATGATACCTTAAAATATGGATGCTAGAAGTAAGATAGAAATGAAAATAAATAATGTAACTAGATTAAAAATAGTAGCAGTGGCAGGACAGGATAGTTTTAATTGGGAGAGAATACCTTTTGTATTCTTGCAGCCAGAGGGAGAAATCTGGCCACAATTTCTGTTAATAATCTGTTCGAATCTGCCAAAAGGTAGACCTGATAGCATTCAGAAGTCCCACCTGGAAATTTTGAGAGTAGCTGCCAATCTGATTCGGTTGCCTTTATAGAAATTACAGAGAAGAAGCACGTGAGCCAGTGATTCTATATCCACAAGGACAGAGTCGTTCATTGCAAGGAGTACTTTAAACTGGCCATCCAGTACGGTGGACCACAAGCAATTTATCCTAGCTTTAGTGAAAAACAAGTGGTACTTGGGAATAGTTCAATTCTCCAGCTACCTTGCATGGCTTGCCACTGGCGGTGGGCTTGGGGGGCAATGAAGCAATGTGAGAACAGGCCCTTTCAGAGCCCCTGCCTCTGGAAAGGTCTCCCTGTGGAGGCTCACCTGTCCTCCTTTCTGCCTGCCTGCCTGCCTGCCTGCCTCTCTCTCTCTCTCTCTCTCTCTCTCTCTGTCTCTCTCTGTCTCTCTCTCCTCTACAGGTTCTCTCTCTGTCTCCCCTATCTCTCTTCTCTCTCCCCTTCTGACACCCCTTTCCCCCTTCTTTCCTGCCCAGATGCAATTAGGCCAAGGGCACCATGCAGCCCTTGATCATCCCTGACTGAGAGGGTGGCAAAAGGAAGTAAGATGTGTGTGTGGGAGGGTTAAACAAAGAAGGGTTGGCTGGCTCCACTTGCTCTGGGGTTTGAGTCCCGATGGCCTCATAGCTTCTTGGCAAGCTCCTCAGCCCTGCTCCCCTCCCTTCTTGCCCTCTCCTGCGTCCCAGCACAAGGACGCCATGTGTTCCCTGCGCCTTTATGTTATATTAATGTCCTAGGCTGAGTCTGGAGCCTTGAGTTCATTAAGCAAAGTAAAAGGCAGGAAGCAACAGCCAGAAAAATCACAACCTCAACAGAGGAGCCTGTGGCTTATCTGAGGTCTGGTAAGCGGGGGATGCGCTGCAGCCTTTCATCTTGAAAGGCAACAGAGGGGAAGCGAGAACGAGATCCGTGTCCTCGATGGGGTTGCAGCAAATACCCGCTCACTTTGACATTCATCTCGGTATTAGTGCATTAGATGCAGACGGAAAATATGCTCCCCCTGTTGAATATTTGTGCTGCGTGTGTTTTTAAAATGCTGCTCAATGCCATTTTGTTCCATTCCTCCCCCCGCCCTTCCTGCAGCTTCCTGGTGGTGTCTCCATCCTTCTTTGGCTTTCACACACACACCCTGACTCATATGCCCACACAGCTGGGCCATCTGATTGGCTACAGCAGCCCATGTGATTTTGTTTCCAAGCCAAAAAAAAAAAAAAACACTGTTGTGCGCAGGGCCAGATTTAGGTTTGACAAGGTCCTAAGCTAATGAAGGTAATGGGGCCCTTTATGTATGTCCAGCTGTCCTTTGTCAACAACAAATTGCCACTGTTT